TCATAAACTAAATTTATATTAAGAATGACTATAAGTGGGTAGGCTTTAAATTACTTTTTAAAATTCCGTGGCCTGGTCTTCAGTTTTTCTTTTTCTTTCCTGAAGCCAGGTATGTCAGATGCTCTTTTTTGTAAATTTACCAAAAAGGTAAAGCAACTGAATTTACGCTCCTGGATTTGATGGAAGCTTAGCAGAGCTGGAGAAAATTTTTGAAATTGCAATTGGGGGATCAGAAGATGAAAAGTTATCTGCAGCTGCCATTCTTTGCGGGGCTTCCCTAATTCGGGGATGGAATATACAGGTAGTGAAGTTCGTCAGTAGAGCATATGAAAACTCTTACACCTTCTTGACTACCTTCCCATCCTAATAGAATTTGAATCTCTATGTTATGCAGGAGCACACTGTTCATTTCATTCTTAGGTTGTTATCTCCACCAGTTCCTGTAGAGAATACGGAAGGAAACAGCCATTTGATCAATTATGCCCCAATACTAAATGTACTCTTTGTTGGAATTGCATCTGTTGATTGTGTTCAAATATTTTCGCTCCATGGCTTGGTAAGTTTAATCAATCCCTAATTTAAAGTGTTATGAATAGAACTTGTAATTTATATAACTGAAGGATGGAGTTCGGCTCCTATAACAGAGGAAATCCTCTGAAACAGAATAACAACCCAAGGGCATTGGGCAAACCTCAGTGCACAATGACTCCCCGACTTTGGTAGGTTATGGGTGAGGGCTAATTGTACATAACCTTACCCTTACATTTTGCCAAAAAACTCTTTCCTAGATTTGAACCTGTGACCTGTCTCCTAGCCTATTTATGATCATAGTTTTATATAGTACATCATCTTTCTTAAGATATGAAGCTATATAAGTATATGTAGCCAAGAGGTGAATCTGAATTTAAAATTTTGGGTTTAGGCAGGTAAAGCAGGTGAAAAAAAGAAATAAAGGATGTACTCACTTTAATAATATTCTTAAATGCATCGTTTATTTTTTCATATCTTTCATGTTCTATAATTAATGCATTCCCAAATCTCTGACCAGGTTCCACAGCTCACGTGTTCATTGATGCCAATCTGTGAAGTATTTGGGTCATGTGTGCCTAATATCTCAGGGACACTAACATCAAAGGAAGAAATATCTTCCCATGCTGTGTTCTCAAATGCATTTATTCTTCTTTTAAAGCTATGGAGATTTAATCGTCCTCCTCTTGAATATGGAATTGGAGATGTACCCACTGTTGGTTCTCAATTAACTCCTGAATACTTACTTTTAGTGCGAAACTCCCACTTAATGTCAGCTGGTAACATCCACAAAGATCGAAACAGGAGGAGACTCTCAGAAATTGCGAATTTATGGTCACCAAATTCTGTATTTGTTGACTCCTTTCCAAAATTAAAAGTATGGTATCGGCAACATCAAGCATGTATAGCTTCAACGCTTTCTGGTCTTGTACATGGAACCCCTTTCCATCAGATTGTTGAGGGGCTTCTTAACATGATGTTCAGAAAGATTAGTAGAGGAAGCCAGACTACTATTACATCTGGAAGCAGTAGCTCGTCTGGACCTGGAAATGAAGATGCCTCTACATGGCCAAAGTTGCCTGCTTGGGATATTCTTGAGGCCATTCCCTTTGTAGTTGATGCTGCTCTCACAGCCTGTGCTCATGGAAGACTCTCTCCACGTGAGCTGGCAACAGGTATGTGTGTTTTGATCAGATAAATCCAAGGAACACACCAAATAGCTTGTAGAACTCATGATTTATAAAGTACTGCAAAGAGTCTAACTGGCCGTTGGCAAACCTCAAAAATGTTATTCGTTTTAGGTTTTCGAAATTCTCGTTGATGTCTTTTACCTCTATATATTGAGCAACCAAACAAGTTCATGTTCATGTAGATGTTCCTTGATGTACACAACAATATCATAATACCAGAATGCTTTTCTTATCAGGGCTTAAAGATTTAGCAGATTTTCTTCCTGCATCTCTGGCAACCATAATAAGTTACTTCTCTGCTGAAGTAACTCGGGGAGTTTGGAAACCTGTATTTATGAATGGAACGGATTGGCCAAGCCCCGCTGCAAATCTACTGAATGTTGAGGAACAGATCAAGAAAATATTGGCTGCAACCGGTGTTGATGTGCCTAGCCTTGCTCCAGGTTCTCTCGTTGTTATGACCCTAAATTCTGAATAGTTTTTTTCTTTTCTTTTTTTGATATAATCCTGACTTGTAATGCATTTTCGAAAGAGACAGTTTACATGTACAAGCCATGTGTTTCAGTACTGCAATTTTGTCCATTATATTAAAAACAATCTGCATCCATAATATAATCTTTTACATTGCTTGATCTGAGCATTAATGCCCAATTGTTGTTTAGGACATGTCTTCCTCCTTTATCTTCCTTTTCTCTTCCAACATTATTAAATTGTTATTTAGTATAGTGACCAATGGTCATCTTTTCCACAGGAGACAGCTCTCCTGCCACACTTCCATTGCCCTTGGCAGCCTTCACAAGCCTTACCATAACCTACAAAGTTGACAGGTCATCAGAGCGTTTTCTTAATTTGGCTGGCCAAGCATTGGAGGGTCTTGCTGCAGGTTGTCCATGGCCTTGCATGCCAATTGTGGCTTCCTTGTGGACCCAAAAGGCAAAACGTTGGAGTGATTTCCTTATCTTCTCAGCATCTAGAACTGTCTTCCTCCACAATATTGATGCAGTAGTTCAACTTCTTAAAAGCTGCTTCACAGCTACACTTGGCATGAATAGATCTCCTATCTCATGCAGTGGTGGTGTTGGAGCACTCCTTGGCCATGGATTTAAGTCCCATTTATGTGGAGGGATTTGCCCTGTTGCTCCGGGAATTCTCTACTTACGTGCTTACCGGTCAATCAGGGATATTGTTTTCTTGACAGAAGAGATTGTTTCCATCTTGATGCACTCAGTGAGAGAAATTGTATGTGGTGGGCTGCCAAGGGAGCGATTGGAAAAGTTGAAAGCAACCAAAGATGGCATAAAATATGGACATGTTTCACTTGCTGCATCAATGACTCGGGTGAAGCTTGCAGCTGCCCTTGGTGCTTCTTTAGTATGGATATCAGGAGGGTTGATGCTGGTTCAACTATTAATAAAAGAAACTTTGCCATCTTGGTTTATATCTGTTCACAGAATAGACCAGGAAGAAAAGTTAGATGGGATTGTTGCAATGCTAGGTGGATATGCACTTGCTTACTTTGCAGTTCTTTGTGGGGCTTTTGCTTGGGGAGTTGATTCATCATCATCAGCTTCAAAGCGACGTCCAAAAGTTTTGGGTATCCATATGGAGTTTCTGGCAAGTGCTTTAGATGGTAAGATATCACTTGGATGTGATTCAGCTACTTGGCGTGCCTATGTGTCAGGGTTTGTGAGCTTAATGGTAGGTTGCACACCGAACTGGGTGCTGGAAGTAGATGTACATGTGTTGAAGAGACTTAGCAATGGATTGAGGCAGTTGAACGAGGAGGAACTTGCTCTTGCTTTGTTGGGTGTTGGTGGGGTAGGTACAATGGGTGCTGCAGCTGAGCTTATAATTGACACTGAAATGTAAAGTTTTTTTTTTTTTTTTTTATTCCCTTTTTCTCTATTATGAGGGCACCTGTGCTTTTTAGGACCACTTTTACATTGGTTAAGTTACATGTTTAAAAGTTGTGCAACGCTTTAAATCAACAGTTTTGTTTGAAAAGTATCACATATGAGAATGGTAAATTTTTTTTATCTATAATGCTCATCCTAACCTAAGGTATGTTTTATCACCATCAGATTTCACTTGGCATTGCTATCAAACCTCGTCTCACAATTGCTAGTGTTATATGGTTTCCTATGTTTTGGCCTTTGTGGCTTTCCTTACCTACAGTCTAATTCTGAACAGCGCATCCAATTCCAATCATTTGATGTTCTGTTTTAACAGCTTTTGCTGCAAGTGGAAAAAACTCCAATCCATAGCAGGGACGAGGAGCTTGCTACTTGTTCATTGGTTTGGTTTCTCCTGAAAAAAAAAAATTCAATTTCATTTCTTCATAGAAGATTTTATAAAAATATTTAAATAGTATTAATTTTCCCTCCATAGGAGAGTAAGTGGAGCGGCATCTTCTATAGAAGAATATTAGCATTTTTGTTATTATTTTAATTTTTTTTGTAAAGGAGCATTTAGTTAATTTTATACAAAAAAATGTCCATGCACTTAACAGTGGAGCCTTCTCTCTGCCTTTTCTCTTACTGTTGCCTTAGATTACCAGGGGTATAAAAAAAAAAACTTTTGATGTGCCAAATGCCAATTGCTAATAAATCATTTGGATGATACATGTGATCAAATTTATGATTAAATCATAATCAGGCACATCTACTATAAACACTGGAAAATGATAAAAGTACGTCTACTATTTTTTATATTTGTTCAATCATAATGTAAGTGTTAAGAGATAGCGTGATAGGTTGTGCTTAAGGATTTTTTAAAACTTAGATGATAATACTTAAGCTCTGTTGCAACACCTCTCCCCCATGTTAATAAAAATTAAACAACTTGTAGAAACTGAAGATGTATATGAAGATGAAATTCATGTTACTGTCTAAAATATTGGCGTATGGATATAAAATTTGGACTTAACATCTCAGAAATGCTAATAAATTTTATTTTTTGAATTTAGCAAGAAAGACTGAAACTCCAAGTGTAGGTGAGAAATATGAGAACACCATTTACCATGTGAATTTTTACGCATTAAAATCATGGGAAATACTACTGAAAGGAGATTGATATCTTATATGGTAGAGAGAAAATGAAAATGGATGTCCCACCATTAAAAAAAAAAAAAAAAAAAAAATTACAAAAAAAAAAAAGGTGCAAAACTCCGAGAGAGAGGAGAGAAGTTATCTCGTACATGAGAGTAATAAAGTCCTAAAATCATTATCTAACATGCACAAACATTTTTAAAAATAGATACATTTCTAACTCAGACCCAATTTACAATTTACAATTCACATTAAACTATAGCAAGAAGCCAAGAATAGCTCTGTTGCTCCGCAACAAGAAGACAATGCTATCAGGTTAGGAAGCATACCTGTGACTTGTTCAGTTGTACAGGATCAACTAATAAGAGCACAAATAAAGATCTAAATCACAATCATCATCTAACCCATTCATTTACAATCATGTGACCCATCTGTGAATATTAACAATGGCATCAATATCACTAATTAATTTACTCCAACATCCCTTCATTATGATTTCAAATTAACTTAAAAAAACGCAATCAGCAGTTACAATGTTTAAAAAAAAAAGAAAGAAAAAAAGATAAACGAAACCATGGTCACATTTGGAAAAGTTAAAAATCACAAAGAATTGTAATTTTTTGATGCTGTCTTGAGATAAATTTCAAGAAAATTTTGGAGGCACTTCATTCTATCCTTGATGGCTTGAACATCAAGCTTAATAGTTTCCAAGCCACCTTTGAGAGACCGAACAACTCCCAACAGATTATCCAACAAAGCAACCTCGTTCGTAAAATGTGTCTCTTCCTCATCGGGGGCATAAATCAGCTGCAACTCAAAAGCGTTCATGTCTTCCATGGCCTTCGATGCCAGATCCGTGATGTCCGTGAATGATCTATGGATATGGTTCTTCACAAATTGAGGATCCACCAACAAGGATTTCCACCACTTGCACACGCACCCCAATTGCAACGGATTGCTCACCTCAACCCTAGAGAGGATTTCGATCATCAGATCCTCCGGAAGAACCACCATGTCGCTCGGTGGCGTCGCCGTCATGGCTTCAAGCATCATGCGCCGTCTCTTTCGCGTCACCACGGTCATGGCTATTTAGCGGTAGAGTGAAGCCTTTTTGATCTTTGTGTTTTCGGCTTTCTATGTTTCCGTTCAATTGCTTCGTTTTAGGGTTCCGTATTTTCGTTAGTTACAAAAAATTTGTAAATTATTACACCACTATTTACTCAAAGTAGTTGATTACCGGTGCGATGCACGCAGAAAAAAGAAATCGATTTGTTTGTCCTGTAAACGAATTAATAAGAAAATCAGTTTGTTCGTATGACATAAACGTGTAACTTTTAAGGTAGGAACAAAAAAAGAATATAATAATTTAAATACAGTAAATTTCATGGTTGACAACAAAATCTCCATTAAAAAAATCTAAATGTCATGTTGATAGCAATATAATAAGAAATATGCCCAACTGATACTCACAACAGTTGTAAAATATCGTCCGCCATGCACTATTGGTATTTGCTGCTATTCGAAATGAATCATAAACAATAATTGGAAAAGAAAAAATTATTGAAGAGAATTATATAGTTTATGGCAGATGAATAATTCAGAATTACAATGAGAAACCTTTGACTCTGAAAAATGACAAGGGAATAATATACTGATTGTGCTTCGAATACTGAATCTGCATAACAATAAAAAATTGGCAGAAAAATAGGCATAACAACTAAAGGAAATCAACAAAGAAGATTAAAAAATATTTCCTGATAAAAAATTGAGATCTTACCTGATACCAAACAACAATGTTATCTCTTTGTAGAAATAACCAAGTATATTACACTAATCTTTGAAATACTTCCTTGTAGACGATGTTAAAGGTAGTATTTGTAACACAACCATTTTCATTAAGTATCAGCATCTTCAATCCATGTTTGCTCTTTACTCTAGATAGTGCCACATATAATTGCCCATGAGTGAAGACATGCCTAGGAAGATAAATGCCAACATGAGACAGCGACTGTCCTTGACTTTTGTTGATAGTCATCGCATTATCTTCTTTGGAAGTTTACTGGAAATGTATGACCCGATGGGCTGATCGTCATTCTAGGGATTAACACAGTATCTCCTATATTGTTTCCTGTAAAAACAATTGCCTCAACAACATGATTCCCCAACTTTGTAATAAGTAATCTCGTACCGTTGCATAAACCTCTTAATTGATCAATATTTCTCAATAGCATCACCGGTACTTTAACCTTCAAAGTTAATTTATGATCAGGAATCCCCGAACATGAGAATGTTTTTAAGATATCAGGGGAGATTTTGTCATCCTCAAGAGATGAATTTTCGTCTTGTTTCAAAACCTTATCTGAACTCAAAAATGTCTTTTCTTCACCTGGAATCACAACCATTAGGTGCTCGTTTAACATGGCAACATCGGACTACTTAGGAGTCAGAAGAGCATGTTCTTTAAAGAAAGTAGGATCTAATATATTATCCATCAGATTCGGGTAAACAAAATCAACAATATCTGAAAGTGGGTCTTTTGAACCTTTGATCAACAATTCATCTGGAATTGTTATAATAGATTCTCCATCAACATCATTCCCAAGATCACCATCTCCTATTTTAAGCAGCCACTTAGAAAATTCTTTTATTTCTAACAAATTATTAGTGCTACTTCTAGAATTGAGACGTATGTTCTTGGTCAAAGATAACAGATGACAATGGGACTATAGATAGGAAGAATTGATGGTTGCATGAACTATATCTTGTCTACTGCCATTTGGAATGAGAGATAATATTTGCCGAAAGTCACCTCCTAGAACGACAACTTTTCCACCAAAGGGCATATCAACACAGCTGGTATCATAAAATCTAAGAACATCTCTAAGTGTTCTATCAAGAGCCTCAAAGCAAAATTTGTGTACCATCGGTGCTTCATCCCAAATGATTAACTTTGTTTTTGACAACAACTCTGCCAAAGTAGAATTTTGTTTTATATGACATGTTGAATCTTCGGTGATCTGTATAGGAATACGAAATCTAGAATGTGTCGTACGTCCTCCAGGAAGAAAAAGTGAAGCAATTCCGCTAGAAGCAACATTAAGCACTATTTCAGCTCGAGATCGAACAAATGCTGACAAGGTGTTCCAAATAAATGTTTTTCCAGTCCCACCAAAGCCGTACAGGAAAAAAAATCCTCCTTTACCTGTCGAAATAGCTGAAATTATTTTGTCATAAACAACCCTCTGCTCATCAGTGAGTGAATTCAGTAGTCTGTCATGCTCTTCTTTCAAAGAGAAACTGTCATACAACAATTCATCCATCACCAATCTGTTCTGCATATCCAATAAAGATTCACTGATGATGCTTGGCATGGATGGGTAATCAGAGGCATTTACCGTTGCTTTGCAACACCTTATCGATTTCTGCAAGGGTTATGTGTTTTTATAGAATCCTCTGTAAGCAAAGCATCTGAAAAATATTGAAAAATACAAAAAAAAAAGGATTAACAAAGACAAAGTTGGTGAGGAGAGAAAAATAAAACAAAATTATGAACAAAGCAGAGGGTGTGAAACGTAACGAATTTTTTTAACCAAATATTAGAATAGGACGGTGTATAATGTATAGATGTAATTTTATTATGAAGGAACAAAAAATGCTCACATTTTTTCGAAGGTCAAGTGAATTAAACATAAGCAAATTGTTTGCATAAATGAATGCACGATACAGAACGACAAGAATATTAATTATAGTGCACAATACACATAAATGAATGCACAAAATTTGTTCCGGACAATTACCTTCACGTCCAATTCTTTGCCTATGCCGATAAAGAACATCGTTAGATAGTAATTCCCAGCATTTTTGGAAAACATTTTCAGGCTTGTTCATTGAGTTACCAAATAACAATAAGGCAAACAGATTTCTCAGATAAGTTGCTGACCCCCAAGAACTTGCCTCCTTAATTGCATCAATGTACTCATTGTCATCATCCAAAAGCCCCAAAGAATAGCAGGCATCCTTATATGTAGGAAAAAGCACCCCATTGACCGTTCTCAAATCTTCATAACTTGCACAACCCTTTTGAAAATTAAGTAAAGTTCGGAGATAGGAATCTTCTCCATTATTGGCAGAAAAATGATTTATTCTTCCAATTGAAAATCCTTGTTTTCTGGGATGCCATTCATGCATACTTTCTTTATATACAAATTGAGTTGGATACTCTGCATAAGTAAGATTCCTACCTTCTGGATATTTTTTATTTGCATCCATCCAAGACTCGAACATTGATTGTCTAGACTCCGCCTTAGTCTTGACATTGGTTATTGAAGCATGATCACTAAAAACAATGCTTTTTTCATTGGGTAGGTGAAATGACAATCGCTGAATAGGGGGAATCTGTAATGAATCTCAAATTTGAATATTCTCCAAGCAGCTTCTCATGCGGACACATACCTATCATATATAAGCAATAAATTCAAATTAAGTTAGAAAAAGGTTATTCGAAGAAACGAAAGGAAACATAACCGATATGAATTCAACAACCTGCAATCATAAAACATTTTGATTTCATCATCTGAATGATTTATAGCAGCTGTCACCTTGTCTTTCCCTTTATGGATGTATTTAAAGAGATATTTAATGGCACTACTCTGACAAGTATATTCAACATTGATATGCGTTTGATATTTTAGAAGGAGTTTTGCATTATACGGCACAACATAACGGTTATCAAGTTCAACACCGTTCTTTTTGACAACACTCCCATCATTTCTTCTTCTATAATGAGGGAATCCATCATCATCAATAAAAGTACGGGAGCAGAACTTCTTGGGAAATTTCTTTGAACAATGTCCGTTCTTCATGCAAGGAGACTTGTAATTGTCAGGACCACAGGGTTCATGCATCATATAACTAGTGACAGCTGCAAAAAGTGAAGGATTGGAATCTTTGTTAGGAATCTCAGCTGAAATCAAATTATCAATGTCAAGTCCAGTATTAGGCTTTTCGGAGGGATGCAAGAAAAGTAGAATATGAGCATGAGGCAGTCCACGTTTCTGAAATTCAACTGTACAAACATCTGTTACATTAAACAAACAGACAGAGTTAGTTAAAATCAATAAAATTGGTTTTTTTCGATTTTTATTTTGAATTTTTTTGGTAGGATACATAAAATTGTGATCCGGTTTGTCCAATTATTTTCTATATATCAATGTGTAAAATTTTCTCATAAAAATCAAAAATAATAATCTCAACAATACACTTACGTGCATTAACTATGCCAAGAACATGTTTAAATCATGTAGCAATTCGTCCAATTTGAACTTGAATACTCGGCAAAGAATATCAGGACCATCTTCAGCGTTGAGTTTTCTTGCCTTAAGAAATCTGGTAATCTCTGGCCACTTAGGATTGCAGGTGATCGTTATAAACAGATGAGGATATCCAGCCCAACGGCAGATTGCAAAGGCATCTTTACAATTCTCAGCCATATATCTAGGTCCGCCTGTGAACGAAGAATGAATAATGATACGCTTTCCAGTGTTTATAGCTTCATCTTCACCCCTGTCAAATGCATTTTTAATATTTTTGTATAACTCTGCCCTGAGATGACTCTGGTTATATCGAATAAAATTCAGCCGATCAGACTAAACCATAGTGTAACATCAACCAAAAATTGTTGAAAAAGCTTCCTTGAGTGATGGAGAACTTGGGACTCTCCTGATCTCATTTGAATTCTGAACGAAAAGAATTCTCGCATGCTAACAGTGGATCTTGGATTAGTCCTACCATGGGATGTATAAGATCGCTCGACATCATCACGATAACCATCTTCACTATAAGGAAATAACAAAGGATACTGCAATCCAAGATACAACGGATGCTTGACATCTATACGCTGCAAAACTATATCTTGTGTCTCAACAACAATATCCCTATCACCCAATGCGCTGTCTATATCCCCAACAATAAGAGCAGCAACTTCTGACGCAGACGAAAGATTATAAACTCTGCCATCACTGCCACGCTTTCGAATAAGCCTCAACTTCACTCCAGTAAAGTCATTGTCCCTATATCGATCTCTAGCGTACCTAAAAGATTGAGCAATACTGTTGTGTTTATCCAACATTTCCTTTAATGATAGGACAATATCAGGATCAAGCATATCTTCACTGTTTATCGAACTGCAAGAATAATGTCATAAAAATAAGTAAAAAATAAATGAAGAATAATGTGTTATGCCATCGCTGCATAACACATAACAAATAACCAATAGATACCTGAGGTTATCAAGCTCCACGACAACCATTCTTGTCTTCCTACCGGAGATAATATGCTCACGAACTTCTCCTATTCCAGAGACTAAACCGATGACATCTACACATTAAGGATGGTTAGACAGATGATATCGTCACACAAACAACAAAAGCATGACTTACAGCATGAACAGGTCAAAATCTACAAACCTACTAAATAAGGGGAATCAGAAAACTCTTTCTCTATAACGTCAAAATCTACAAAATCAAATCCATTGGTGGGAATAGCAGAATCAATAGTGGATTTTACATCAGTCCTCAAGTTGAAAGACAAACGATAATCATGCTTAGTTGGCCTGAAACTACCAGTATTCGAACCAACTCCAAAAATTTTTATGAAATAAACTTCTCCTTCGTGAATTTTTTTACGGATATGCAAAGAACCCTTGATAGCAGCGTGGATCCTTCCACCCTACAAAACGCATGCATAGATTAGTACATTTTAAAAACATGGACCGCAAACCAACAGTAATATCAAAAACAAAACAAAAACAAATACCTTTTCATCTAACAGAATCATCTCTACGTTGTCGTCAAATTTTTTTTGCTGAAAATTAGGAACCTTCCATGTTCTAACAACTCTAGCCTTAATCTTCCACTCCTCCTTAGTAGGATTAAGATCCTTAATAAAATCATACTTAGAATACATAACCAAACGTATATGAGGTAATATTGGCTCAAAGCCTTTGAGGACAAAGAAAAGAACGAAATAGAGACGCTACAAATGTTCCCAAAGAAGCTGATCAGCAAACGAACATATGTTGTTCCAAATACCTATTTATACACGAATATGCACTATTCGATTTAAAATGGTCATTTAATTATTCGATTTAAAAATCAAAATTCGATTTTTAAAAGAAATTCTTTTCCCACCATCCATATTTAAATTCAAAATTTTAAATCATTTCAAATTTCGAATTTTAGATCAGATAACTAATTCCAACATAAAAAAGCAATTAAAACAGTTGATTTCTTTTTGGATACCAATGTGATGGGCAGTGGGACATTCAATGCATTGTCTGTCACCACAAATGGTCATTTAATTATTCGATTTAAAAATTAAAATTTGATTTTTAAAAGAAATTCTTTTCCCACCATCCATATTTAAATTCAAAATTTTAAACCATTTCAAATTTCGAATTTTAGATCAGATGACCAATTCCAACATAAAAAACAATTAAAACAGCTGATTTCTTTTTGGATACCAATGTGATGGGCAGTGGGACATTCAATGCCTTGTCTGCCACCACAAATGGTCATTTAATTATTCGATTTAAAAATTAAAATTCGATTTTTAAAAGAATTTTTTTTTCCAATTTATCCAATAAAGAAAGTTTGTATTTGCCATGTAGTGTGAATACAATTTGTAGAATTAACCAGGAAGTGACACTTGGCAAAACTTTCCAACATTGAACCCTCCTTTATATATATATAGATTTTGGTCGTGTAATTATATATGGCATACTAAATTGATGTTTAAATTGCAGATATTAATTTGACGAGGAAGGTTATCCTTACAATCTTTTTTTTTACAACCTCTTACAACCATATCTTATCACCGTTGATTTTCGTCAATCAACGGTTATCATTTATTGTGAATTAATAATTAATTAATGACTTTAATTTGCTAAAATGATAATCGTTGATTGACGGAAATCAACGGTGATAAGATATGGTTGTAAGAGGTTGTAAAAAAAAAGGTTGTAACTATAACTTGCTCTAATTTGATTTATTAATATTTTATATGTACTTTTTTAAATTTTTTATTGTATATTTAAGTATTAATTTATTTGATGTGTGTTTGTTATAAGAAGAGGTGGCAAAGTGGGCGCCTGCCCGCCACGACCCATCTCGCCAAAAAATGAGTCAGTCTGCCCCATCTCGCTTTTGAAAGTGAGCTAAAAAACTCGGCCTGAATCTGTTTTATATTGGCGTACCTCTCCTCGCCATCAACCTGCCAAAAAAGAGTCCATCCCGCTTTTGAGATGGTTTGTCAAACTCACCTCGCCCTTCCCTATTTTGCAGACGAGGCGGGTTGTCGAGCCTGTTTTGCCGACCCTAGTTACAAGGGATAGGATATTATGCTTATTTTTTCATGCTTACTCTACTTATTCAGTTCCAATATCGTTAGATCAGAATCTTATGTGAATAGAGAAAGGGTGAAGGTTAGATGATATTTTAATTTAATAGTGTTGGAAATAAGTAGATAGAATATATACGAAAAAAGGTAACTACAATATTATATCCCTTGTTATAATGAGAAAAGTTTTCTTAAAAAAAGAAGAGAGAGTAAAATTATGCACCAAATTAACACAAAAATAAACCAAATATATTGTTAGATTTACATTAAAATTAGGCATAAGATATTAGGAAAAATTACTCTTATGCAATATAAGAGTAGTTTTATCTCCAATAGATCCATCGAGAACTGTGACACCTTTTTTTATTTTTTTTGTAAATGGTTGGCCCACCACATGTATGTCTACAATATGAGAGATCTTCTCTCATGCAACATGAGATTAGATGAACCCAAGATATTATGCCTAATTTTTTATGTCTACATTTTTTCTCTCCTCTTGAGATTCAGATTTAATAGTGTTGGAGATGAGTAAATAGAGTGAGAATGAAAAAAAATAGCCATACTATCATATCCCCTAAAATTATACTAATATTCAAGATCTTTATTAGAGGATAATATAAGGGTTTAAAGTTCTTAAAGTTACTTTAAATAACTTTATCCAATGTACACCAAAATACACATATACATAAAAGTGTGTGGGCTCATGTTTTCTTTTTCTTTTCCTTCTCTTCACATTTTGATACATATACATAAAAGTGTGAACTCTACACATTTTTATTTGTATTTTGATGAAGTTAAACACACTTTATATACATAAAAACATTGAGATTGAAAATATTATAACGAACAACGACAATGTTACCATGATAATCTATGAAGCACTGACACTTCAAAAATCTTGACGTGTCGTGTTCGACACACTTTCCGACACTCTCCGACACTCCGACACTCCAAATGCGTTGTAGAGACTCAAAAAAATTCAAAGGTTACGTTGCATTGTGTTTTTAATTCTAACTATTAGATTCGTTAGATTACGATTACCATTTTATTGAATTTAATATAAGAGTAAGGTTATACTTATAACTTTTTTTTTGTTACAATCTCTTACAACCATATCTTAACACCGTTGATTTTTGTCAATCAACGGTTATCATTTATTGTGAATTAATAATTAATTAATGAGTTTAATTTACGAAAATAATAATAGTTGATTGACGGAAATCAACGGTGTTAAGATATGGTTGTAAGAGGTTGTAAAAAAAAAGGTTGTAAGTATAACCTTCCTCATAATATAAATATTTGGGATATCTTATGTTTCTTTGCAAAATTGATAAGTATTATAAATTTAGTTTCATTTTTTGTAAATTATTGAATATTAAATATAATATATACTATATAAATTAAAAATATTATTTAATATCAAAACGTGTACTAACGTGTTAAAATTTAACATTTTTTATAATTAACGTGTTCAAGTATCGTATCGTGTAATGTCGTGTTTTGTGTCCTATGACAATATCGATGCTGGATAGATGATAATATGGTCCCCGATTATTTTTGAACAAATACAGCTTGCTATATTTCAAACCATAATCTACTACAAGGAATGTTGCATGACTATAGTTCGTGGATGATATGAGATCATGCATGACTACAGAACACGGAACACTGAAATCTTCCAGAATTATTTTTTTTTCTAAACTGACGTGAGTCCACAATCTTGCTTCCACGGTTATCTTAACTATTTCTTTTTTAAACTGAAAGGATGTGACAGACAGCGAATGGTTAATTTATAATAAATAAAGCCTTAAATAATCATAATAAATATAATTAATCACAATTTATTTTAATTAATAATTCAATAAAGGTAAATTATTAATTCAAAGATTTTTTATTAATTAAAATAATTTGAAATGATAAATATGAAAATTATGTATTACTCACATTACTTAGGTGAATATTAATATTTGAAAGAGAATACGTTCACATGAGGACATAAATATTTTATACATATGGTTGATTTAAAAAGGCACTTTATGTTTTACCAAAAAAAAAAAAGAGAGCACTTTATATGGCTTTTTGACCCTTATAACCCTTTATTATTAATTAATTACCGATTTGACCTTGATTATAAACTATTTCAAAAATTTAACCCCCTCAGAAAACATAACACCAATCTGCCCCTGTTTGACCGTTGACCACCAAGCCTACCCGGGTACACCCCTCTGTACCCGGGTATTTTTTGAAAATTTTTGTCTACCCGAGTAGGGAGGAGTGTACCCGGGTATTGTTCTTCGTACCTGAAAAATTGCTTGAATTATTTACCCGGGTAGAGAGGGGTGTACCCGGGTAAATCTTCGACCACCCATTTGGTATTTTTTCTCTCTTTTTTACAGCTAATGAGATAGATCAGTATTATCAAGTTAAGCATGCCTAACCAATTTGAAGAGCTTTTAGCTTTGAGAATGGATTTGGAATTTCCATACATCAACACTGTACTGCTCATCAAAGCGGTCCCTGTTCGTATCGATTATGATGGGGTCTACTTTTATGTACGTCAAAATCGCGCTCCTATATATAAATGTGGTACCGGGTCTATTGGGGAGAGTGAGACGGAAAGAAAATAAAGACAGGGTTCATGGTACAGAAATTTAGTGTGAGCATGTAGCTTTTCATTTTACTGGTAAATGACGAATTATCACGTTCAGGGAAGACATGCATGGGACAAGGTTTGTGGTTGTGGATTTATACTGTTAACTGAGAATTCTCTTTATGAAATAATCATTGAAAAATATTTGTGTGCTTTACAGACCCAAAAAAGTTGCAGAGGAAGAGCACGTGATAGTCGGTGCCTCCATATTCAAAGCTTGGAGAAGAAGAGTGCATGAGAGATCCAAAGAGCAATCATACCGGGTGGTTGAAGATTTACCCGGGTACACCCCTCTCTACCCGGGTAAATAATTCAAGCAATTTCTCAGGTGCGAAGAACAATACCCGGGTACACGCCTCCCTACCCGGGTAGATAAAAATTTTCAAAAAATACCCGGGTACAGAGGGGTGTACCCGGTAGGCTTGGTGGTCAACGGTCAAACAGAGGCAGATTGGTGTTATGTTTTTTGAGGGGGTTAAATTTTTGAAATAGTTTATAATCAAGGTCAAATCGGTAATTAATTAATAATAAAGGGTTATAAGGGTAAAAAAGCCCACTTTATATACACAAAAACATTGAGATTGTAGTGTCCACGTAGCGCACCTGAGCAACAGGGTACTGTTCTAAGTATTTTTGCATCTTCAGAAACATAAGAGTATTTTATGAAATTATTTTTGAGGAAATATGTTTAGGAAGGGACAAGGAAAACTATAGCATAATAGGCAAAGAAAATTTAACAAATTTTTTATATTTTTAAAGTTTTTTTAATCCATCCCTAATTGTTACAATCCTTAACTTTTGCTAAACTACAGGGATTAATTAAAGATTAAAATGAAGTATAAGAATTTTTTTAAGGGTTCGCTTTTTCTACCGTGAATGTAGATAATTTATCTACATTAAATCCAAAACAATGTTGTTT